CAGAACTTAAATACTTAATAAAAGGTAAGAATCAATCTAAACTCAGAATTATAAGAGATCCGAGTGCCATATTTCATCAAACCCGTTTCTGAGTGAAGAGCAGTCTCGCATAGTGCATGGTTTATTCTCATCGAATTTCAAATCCCCCTATACCGATGAAAAAAGTTCTTAATTAAAAAAATAAAACTTTATCAAATGTATTCTCAAACTAAAATCTTCTTAAATCTCTTTCGTCTGACATTGTGATACAAATGTATTTCAATAAACTGATGAAGCAATTCGAATTTTATTGTTCGAACAAATGGCAACCTTCCTAAGTAAAGTCAGGAATAAATTCCTTTCAAATCCATTTCGATTTATACCCATCTTTTAATAATTCATCCAACTTACTGAGTAATTTGAATGTAACTTTTTAAACACGTGGCAACGCAATTCAAACATTCTAAATGGTCAAACTAAATATTTCTTAACATTCTTTCGTTTGACTACGGTATTTTTATATTTCATATACTTTTTGTATTAGTTAATTGAGTTAGACCTTTCAAACAGGTGACAGCCTTCTTGAAAAGTATTTTCATGCTGAATCCTTGTTAACTCTCCTTCGCCTGACATTGAGATACATATTTTAATTAACTGATGAATCAAATGGAATTTGATTTTTTAAACATGTCGCAACCCAGCTAAGTACAGTTCAGAAATAACGGTTTGTCAAACCCCCTTTGACTGATACCCATATTTTAATAATTCATTAAACTTATTAATTAATTCTAATTTAACTTTTTAAATAGGTGGCAACCCTCTTTTAACGCCTCAAAAATATTCTGCCGTTCAAACTAAATATTTCTTAACACTACTTCGTTTGACATCCATATTTTAATGTTTCATATAACTTGTGTATAAATAAACTGAATTCCACATTTCAAGCAGGTGGCAACCCTCTTCAGAATATTTTCAAACTACTACTTTCTGAAACCCCTTTCTGAAACCATTTCGGTTGATACCCATTTTGTAGTAATTGACTTATTTTTTGAATAATTAGAGTATAAGATTTTAAAGGTGGCAACTCTTATCGAAAAAGTAAAACTTTATTGCACATACAGTTCAAGCCTTTTAATTTGACACCTCATTTTTAAAAACCGAATGAACGTTGGGGATATGATTCACATTGATATGATGACATAGACTTTTAAATAATTTTAACTTAATTTTTCAGCAGGTGGCGACACTTTTCCAAAAAATAAAACCATACGAAATATTTTCAAACTACTACTTTCTGGAACCCCTTTCGGTTGGTACCCATACTTATTTTTTAATAATTTGGATATAAGTTTTTAAAGGTGGCAACTCTTATCGAAAAAGTAAAACTTTATTGCACATACAGGCCAAGCGCTTTAATTTGACACCTCCTTTTTTGAAAATCAAGTGAACGGTGCAGATCTTTTATCCTGAAAAAAAATGCCTTCGCGTATTATCTATACATAGTATAAAGGAAAGTCGGGATTCTTTGTACGCGGTAATCTCGAAAACCACTGAACGCATTTTGACGAGATCTCTCTCTCTAATATACTCTGTATCGACAGGAGCACGGTTGCCATTTAAAATTTATTTTTCGGACCAAAAAATGGACCAAATGGTAAAAAATTTACCAATTTTTATTACATCGGGAAACTGAGTGGAGTTTATTCCTCTTTATCGAGAAAATATGCCAATTCAGTTTTTTATAACGTTTTTTTTTATTGCATCCAAAGTGCATCACAATTGTATACTATTAGCATTATATTATTTAAAGTTTTAAATTATAATTTGTTTATTGTTGCTGTTGTTGTTTGTTAATTAATGCTTGTTCTTTATTAATGCTAAATCAAAAAATCTGCGCTCAGCTGCTGCGGAACTGTGAGGCAGACTAAAAATGTGATGATTTTTTTAATATTTTTTTTTTAAATTACCTCAGATGACTGAACAGTTTAAGCTTAAAAAGTCTGCATAAAAATATTAAAACAAAAATGTTCTACGTAATCATAATAATGAAATTTTTGATACCGATATAGACTTATGAGGTATAATTTTAATTTCTTTGCGAATAAGCTCATTCAAAGTATGAAAGAGGAAGGTAAGTGTAACGTGGCTGGCTTTTGGGGCGAATTACGGTGGTACTAA